CTTCGGGTAGCTGTTCCCAGAGAAAGGTCAGAGGGCACCAAGGTGCATACACCCGCTGGTCCTGAAGGGGATCCCCCTCTGGAAGCCCCTCACCTGTCACCTCCCCCCAAATCCTGTCGCCAAAAAAGTTAATCTGTCGATCTAAGAAAGAAATGGAAAGTTTTGAGCCAAATTTGAGGATTCTAACCCGGGAAGAGCATCTCAGAAAGCTCTGAGGACTGTTCCGCCCATTAGAAGTCAAGACACAGATATGTAAGGTTTTTGAGACAGAGGGCTGTACGTCAAATGACCTATTATTGACACTTTACGTAACCCAGGTCTAAGTATCATTGTGCTGGGCCATGTGGTCCCTTACAAGACCAAGAAGGAATGTTATCTTTACGGGGTTGTCTTGTAGATGCTGGGAAAATGTTGCTCTTCTTGGCTGAGCAGGAATTTCTGTCGTTGGGGAGCTTTGGTCGACTCCCAACGCGGATACACAAGGCACAGTGCGGGGGAGAGGACGCCAAAGGGCAGAATTTTTTGTTTAAATTTTTCTTGTCTTACCATAAAATATGAATTTGATCTAACAAGCCCCACAGGGAGTGGCCTCGGGCCTGCTCCTCGACCAGGCTGGGAGCCGACGTGCCGGTTGAAAGGCCAGTCCGTTTTGTAAGTCAAGTAAGGACAAGGCCCGCCTGCCGCCTGGTTCCCAGCTCTTGCGGAAGGAAGGGCGAGGTGGTCTTGGGGGAGACAGAGGGCGCTTCCCTCTTCCAGCCTCTGCGGGGCCCTTTCTTCCGCGAGGGAGCTCGGGGGCCATCTTGAGCTTCTGCACGTGGCCGGGGGTGGTGATGGCGCAGGGTGGAAGCTGGGCCTTCTCCCACCTTCCGAACCCCCAGCAGGGTCACTACCCGAGTGTGCAGACCCGGCTCCAGCAGGCTCTGCAGGCTCAGGAAACAGAGCTGAGCCCAGCCACTTCCCTGCGGTCGTGTTGTGCTTGTAAACAAAACTGACTTGGCTTATGTTTCGTGTATTTAGTCAGGGTGCTGGTACAATAATCAAGTTTATTCCAGGGTTCCGTTGACTCCTTGCACAATCCGGCCACGTCCGGGCCTGCTGCCCCGTGTGCTAAGCCCAGAATTTATCCGACGTCCTAGGTGGATCCACAGCTTAAAGATGAAAATCAGGTGATAATCTGTGCGTGTGGAGGCAGGACCTCTTGGGGGGATGATGTTCTTTGGGGTCTGCCATGTCCCCACGGTGCCTGGTTCAGCGCCTGGCCAGGTGAGAGCTGGCCTCCTCGTTGGGTTTGTTTCCCCAGAGATAGAGAACTGGGCCAGACCGTGCGCCAGTCCTGGGCTGCCCCTGGGCCCAGGTCTCAGAGAAAACCAGCCTGTGCTCTGGGGACCCAGTCCTGACTCTGGGCTGGGGGAACTCATCCTTTCCCGGAGTTCAAAATAAAGCCTTTCACTGTATCAGCTTCCTGAGAAAGCTGGAAGGCTGATGTTGGAGATCACGGCAACCGGACCATCAATCCAAGGCTTCACCTGGCCAGCGATGCCGGGGGCGTCAGACTGCTGGGCTTCCCACCCTGGGGTCCCGAGACCAAGCAGATAGGTCACAACCCCTGCGAGACCATCCCCAGAGCAATCACAGTCTACCTGGGAGTTGTAGGGTCAAGGTTAGACCCACTCTCCCCAAATCCAATGTCGTGAGAAAAAAGTAAGGGAGGAGACGCTGCAGAATAAGAACCTTTATGACACAGTAAGCAAGTGCCACGTGTGATCCTTGATTTCCTGGTTAGAAAAAGCATGTCTGGGGACAACTGGGGCGAAATTTGACCGTGGGCTTGTGAGAGAGGATGTTGGGGATCTCATTTGGGTTGGCGGGACTGCAGTGATGTGGTTACAGAGAACGTCATTCTCCGGCAGGGCAGGCTGGGGTGTTGGGGATATCATTTGAGAGGGTTCAGTCCAAAAGAGCATAAACAAACCCGTGGCCAATGTCAGCATCACTTCACTCCAGACGGTGGCTCTCGGGGAGCTTGTGGGGTTATTTGTTCTGCTCTCATGTAGCTCAAAAAATTCAAGGCTGAGGGGAGGGCTGAGGCCCAGGGCTCTGGCGGGGTTTCCCTAGCTCGGACCTGGTGGATGCAGAGCAGAGAAAACCCCTCTGCTTCTGTGGGTTTGCAGCTGGGGTCGACTCAGGTCAGCGTGTTTGCCGAGGAGCCTCCTGCGTCGAGAGCCCTGCGCTGACACTGCTCTTTGCACCAGGGCTCCTCTCACTGTGTGTGCCCTAATCCCCTGGTACGGATTCACCGGGCCTGGGGGCGACTGACCCCTAACTGCTGGCTGGGGTCCACACTGAGGAGTCAGGGTTTGGCGGCGTGCGGGACAGGTGAGCTGGGATCAGAGCCCTGCTCTGCACGTGTGTCTCCAGGCCTCATTTCCTTGTCTGTGACGGGGACTCATCACAATGTACCTGCCGGGACGCTGAGGACCGGATGCAGGGATATCTGTAAGGCACAGAGCCTGGCAGGAGAGAGGGCCCCCCGGGAGAAGGTCCTACACCTCCTGGGGCCGGAGGGAGACCCAGGCTTTTGCCCCGAGCGGCAGAGTCCCCCTCTGTCGGAGGTTTAGAAGGTGCTACCCGCAGAGCCCCTACACCAGCGCGCCAGCAGCCCTGGCCCTCCCTGTGCTCCCTGGAGCTGTGGAAGCAGCGAAGGTAAAGGTTACTCTCCAGCTGCCGAGTCTCCCAGGAAAAGCTCCTCCACCCCAGGGCAGCAGGGAGGTGGGAACTGCCAGGCGGCTGCCGACACACTGAAGCCATCCCTGTGAGGCGTGGGTACGGCCCCGGCTCCAGCGCCACGGCTTCCACTGTCCTCACGAGCTTCTGTACCTATTCTCAAACGAACGCTTCTCAGTTTGTCCTAAGCCCTTTGATCAGTCTCCAGGGACTCTGAATGGTTCTTTGCTAAGTGTGACCAGCTTGTCAGGTCTCTCCTGGGGGTGGCTTCCCCGAGCTCCTGGCATGACTGTTCTACAGGTCCCGGCTGTCCTGGCTGCTCTTTCAATTCCCTGCATGCGCACCTGCCCCGGGGCCTCTGTACGGGCTGTTCCTTCTGCTGGCTATACTTTCTTCACATACCACGGCTCACTTTTCAATCTCTTTTGGCCTCTGTTCAAATGTTTCCTTCTTCCTAGCAGAGTCAGGTAAATTAAGAAAAAGACGGTTTTACTTTTTTGGCTGTGTTGGGTCTTCATTGCTGTGCGCGGGCTTTCTCTAGTTGTGGCGAGCGGGGGCTACTCTTCGTTGCGGTGCACAGGCTTCTCTTGTCGCAGAGCACGGGCTCTAGGCGCATGGGCTTCAGTAGTTGTGGCACATGGGCTCAGTAGTTGTGGCTCGCGGGCTCTAGAGCGCAGGCTCAGTAGTTGTGGTACACGGGCTTAGTTGCTCTGCGGCATGTGGGATCTTCCCGAAGCAGGGCTTGAACCTGCACTGGCAGGCAGATTCTCAACCACCGCGCCACCAGGGAAGTCCCACATGCTTTATTTTTATTCCCTGCTTTATTTTTTTCCACATGGAGCTCTTGTCCCCAGGTGACAGGCATGCATTTTATCTGTTTGTTCACCCCCCTCACCCCGGCCCCTGGGTCAGCACCGTCAGGCACCGACTTGGTCTGTGTTGACTGTTGCCGCTGCAGCATGTAGCACACAACACGGCCTGGCACACGGCAGGCACTCAGCATTTGCTGAATGAATGAGTGATTTGCTATACAGGATACACACTGTTAGTACCGGAGGGAAAGATACCCATTTCGCGGTCTTCTTTTTTGGGCCGCGTTGCGCGACTCGCGGGATTCTAGTTCCCTGCCCAGGTGTCAAATCCTAACCACTGGACCGCCAGGGAACTTCCGAAGTCTGTCTTCTAAGGAGGGTGGCTCCTGCAAGGCTATCGTCTGCCACGTAGGAAAGGGGAGGGCACTGAGCATGCCAGGGGGTGCTGAAAGGAGCTGGACGGATGGATGAGTCTGTGGGTGAGGGCATGGAAACGGTGAGAGATCCCCAGGAACCCCACTCTGAGAACTGCCGTGTTTCAAGGTGATTTTAGGTAGTGGTGGCTGAGTGACATAACCCTGCCCCTAACCCCGAACCTTCAGGAACAGGTTGGCTCCCTGGTGCCTGCAGCATCTCAGGAGGGGTGGGCCGGGCTCAGGTCCCTTGCCCCACACTCAGGTAAAGGGATGGGGAACCAGACACTGGCAGAGGCGGACAGCGGGTGTGGGCGCCCGAGGACACAGACCCTGCTGGGACTTCGCATTCACCTCGGGGAGGAGTCCCAACTGGCACCAGGCAGACTGGAAAGCTTGGCTGACATCTGAGCTCCGTTTATATCAGCAAGAGCCTGGCACCAAACGCCCGTCGCTGGAGGAACAGGTGAATACAGGCATCTCGTGGTCCTGCTGCTGAGACGGGGGTCGGGGAGGACGTATGAGGGCGTGGGGGTCTCACGGGTGTTCCAGGTGTTATTTTATGGGTTAAGTGACCCTCTGTGGACGTGTCTGGGATCCAAACCGCGACCGAGGAGCGTCTGTTCGGGGAACACGTGTACATCAAGGCCAAGAGCAGGTGGCGGTGCTCTGCTTGCCCGGCGAGACAGGGCCGTGTACCTTTCCCCTCGGGGAAGATGAACAGCGGCAGGCACCTCTCTGCGGTGGAGATGGGGGGCCCCGCCCAGGACACCGGCGCCCCCTGCAACCATCCTCACAGGCCGAGGCCTGAGGAGCAGGTGCTTCAGGCCTGGCAGTGGGGGTGTCCGTGAGCAGCCGCAGGGCGAGCCTCGCCACAAACCCCCTTGCCGGCTCCGGGCAGGGGACGCACAACAGAAGGATGGGTGCCCAAAGACGCCTGTTCTCAAACACTTACCACTGTCCCCAACGTCAGCGAACACCTGCTGCATTATAATAGCTCCCAAAGAGGCGTATTTTTATGTACGCTGACAGTCAAGATCAAGTACACATCTGAGGGCAAAGACTGACGTTTTATTGGATTTGGCTTTGACGAGCGCTGACAAACCCTGCAGACACGGGTACAAAATGATTGTAAACGAACAGGCCTTGCCAGCAGTCAGGAAAATTCAGAGAAAACGCACACACACCAGTCAAAAGACAGATTCACTTCCACATTCCTTCCAACACCGGCAACTGCTTCCCGATTTTCTTTATGCTTTTCTTTGTGCTTTCAGTTCAGCAAAAGTTAGAAAGGATAATACATTTGCAAAGTGTGATACCAAATTGTACAAAACTGATCAGTGCTATGGGGTAAGAGGCAAGATGATCACTTTACAAAAGACTGTAAGATCACCAGCATTAATTTAAATTATTTCCCTTTCTGGACTTCCAAGTCCCCCTGGCAACTTTAGCTAGGAAAATAACATGCATCCAATAGAAAACTGGTATTGTAAAGACATTTTCCTTATGTGATACATTCTTGGAGTGTATGGAATGAGAATTTTAAAAAACTGTATTTTTTCTTTCTTTGTTGCCAACACTTAGGCGTTAGAAATAAGCCCCAGTAAACCTACTGAGCATACCCACAAAATGGAGTAAGTCAGGACAGATTCAGAGAAGGAGAGATGGAATCCAAGACACACTGTCACTCCTGGGCTCCGGGCCCCAGGCAGGACGTGTCCAGGACGCCCCACTGGGGCCTCAGGAGCGACAGATGACATATCAGAGCGAGGAAGAAAGCCCCCGCCCTCAATTGCAGGACAAATGAGCCATTTTTGCCGTTGGATGTCTTGCTAAGACATCTTAACATCGTTGGATTATACGGCCCATTGGGCTACATGACCCATCCTGAACGCTGAAATAAAAATCGTTAGAAAAATAATCTGACCAAGGATAACGAAACCATTTTTTTTAAAAACAAAAAGTTAAAAATATCTGAGTATTCAAATCTAACCTTTTCACGCTATCAGTTTTGGTTTCGATGGATTCTATCAAAGGCAGGGCGCTGAAAACCACGCGACCACCACAAGGTTACGACGACTGCTTAACTGCACGATGCCGACGCTTGCTTTGCTCGTGGCCTGATTATGACACAGCTTTATTAGAGAGCGGGCCAGGAGCAAAGCTCGCGCGCCCTCCTTCCTCACCAGGCCCCCCGCAGGCCGGCCCACTGACCTGCAAGTTGTCAGCTGTGGTCTTTGCAGAGGACCCCACCCTGATCACGTGATCGAGGAAACCAAAGTCACATCAGCCCTGCAACGCCAGTGAGGCCCTGTCACCCCAAGTCGCAGCTGGGACCGCCAAGGCAACGCTGGGGTCCTGTGCTGGGGAGTAGCGAAGGGGGCTGGCTTGGGCTGTGGTGAGAAACTGGGGCTCCTGCACAGGGGGAGGGAGGAGGCCCGAGGTCCCCTGAGCCAAGAGCTGAAACTATGTTCCCCGCAAATTCTGCACCACCTCCTTAGGGCTGTAAACTCCAGACAGAGCCGGGAGGGGCCCCAGGGGCTTCTCTAAGGTTTCGGGGTCTGTGTCCCACCTGCCACTCAGGCTCGAGGGACAGACACACAGCTTCTCAAGACAGATCCATCACCTAGCCAGCACTGCTCTGAGCTGCATTTCTGTTTTTCCAGCTGAAGTCTGAGCGCCTTCCACCCGATTGCTGTAATTAACCAAAATTAGAGCTTTATGAAAATCTGTAAGTGCAAGCTTCGACATTTGAAAAAACGGAGCTACGAACAAATAAATAAGCAGAGACAATTCTTAAAGGCTGCTTCTTTTGCCTTCTAGCAGGAACCCACGTTTCAGACACGGCGACCGCGCCTCTGAAGACGTGAGTTGGGAGTGAAGATGGGGAAGCTGCTCTTGGGGCCGCCAGCCATGGAGGGTGTCGGCTCACACAGCACGAGGACCCGGGCGCCCAGGGAGGACACCCTAGGCTGGCCCAGAGGTAGGAAACCAGGGAGGAAACCAGGCCAAGGCAGAGGGAAGGAAGTGTCTGACCCCTGAGGGCAGAGGCTCTTCTCTCCCGCCCCAGCGCCCCCAACTCGCAGGGTCACCCCTGCTGAGCACGCACTGTGAGCGCGTAGAAAAAGCGCGGTATTGCTGATGTTGTTACAAGTCACCTCTACCCCAAACTGCCAAACACCCCCAGAACACGGGAACAAAGCCCTACATGCTTTGAAAAAGAAAAAAGACAGACTGTTAGACCCAAGACCACCAGAAAACCAGCCTCGCTTGGCGGTTTCACACGCGCTGGGCGGGGCTGGCGAGGAACTGAGCCCCGGGATGCCACCGCGCGCATCAGTGCAGGGGCACCGGGCAGCGTGCTCTCAGCCCATGGGCCTCGCCGCCACAGCCGGAGGCCCTGAGGTCACCCACAGCTGGGAACACCCGGGGAGCTCGAGCATGAACGTCGTCTGCAGCAGAAGCTCAACGTCTGCCCGTGGCCCCGCGGCTCACCCAGAACCTCGTACACACAACTCATGGGAATTTATAAAACAATAAAAAGGCCCCACTTTTAAACGTTATAATTTATAGAATACTCTGTACAAAAGCAGTCTGTGAAAGGAATGACTACCCTAGAAGAAGTCTATAGCCGTCGGCCTCCTCTTTGGCGTGCTGGTCAGCGGCTTCTTGGTCCCCAGGGGCGTGCTGGCCGGCGAGCTGCTGGGGGTCTTCAGCACTCCGTGGAGGGGTCTCTGCTCAGGGTTGAAGGCCACCCGGGAGGGGCCCGTGGGACTGACCAAGATGCTCTTGTCCGTCTTCTTGAATTCTGCCCCGGATGAAAGCAAGGCCACAGGTTAACAGGGGACGCACACCTCCCTCTGTCCTGCCGGCAGCACGGGCTCCCGCAGGCCCCGAGCTGCATGCTCACTCCCAGGCAGGGTGGCGCCCTCGCCAGGCCCGCAGAGAGGGCCCGAGAGCCCGGGAGGAAATGGAGTCACCAGTGAGGCTCCTTCCCTCGGACGACTTCCATCCTCCTCGGAAAACGCCGAGGCCGCCTGCACGGCCGTGGGGGGAGCGCCAGGCGGGCCAGGTCGCGTGGGGGGGGTTACGGAACATGGGCGCTCGGTGAACCCCCGGTTTGGGTCTGGGATGAGCCCCAGGTTTAGACAGTTGAAGGAGCCTTTCCTTCCTGGTGGATTTGTTCCCCCCATTTTCTCCAGCGCTGAAGATGAGAGCTTCACAGGTCCTCTCCAGACAGCCCCTCCCTCCTGCACGCGTGCGTGTGCACACACACACACGCACGCGTGCACACACACACGTTTACTTGTGGTCCTTAAAAACAGCCAGGACCTAAACTCATTATGTACTTGTAAAAACCTTGGTTTCCTCCTTTGAAAGACAAAGCAAGGCAAGTGAATCACACCCGTATTGAAAGCGGTAAGACAAGTGTGCCCCTCTTCCCCTCTCCCCGGGCAGGCAGCCTGCAGACCTTCGCGGAGGCAGGACAGACCGCCAGATGGCGGGCCGACAGGGCTTCAGAATCAGGGCAGGCAGGCCTGGAAGCCGAGGCCCTCCCGGCCGCCCCGGGAGCAGCCCAGCGACGGGCCCAGGCCCTCCCTGCCCCGCAGAGCGGACGCCGACTCACCCGCCGTCGTGTTCCTGTTCAGCCCGAACGTCACCTTCTTGGAGCTGGACGGCGTCCTGTGTGGCTGCAGAAGAAAACGACACCGAAAGGAGCAAAGGACCGGCCCAGCCGCCCCGAGAGCCCACGGTGGCCGCGTCGCAGGCCCAGCACTGGCGGGCCAGCCCCGCTCTGCAGTAACCGCCTGTCACTGGGTTCCCGGGGAGGAGAGCAGAGCAAAATTACGGTGTTTGAAACCTCCCGGGAACAAGAGGAAGCTCACCATTAACCCCATCCACCTCGCCCCAGAGCCCCGCCGTGACCTCGTAAGGGGAGCGATGGGCCCGCTCCTGTCACGGAACCTGACTTCTGGGGGCAACGGACTGGCACTTCCCAACTTCTCGTGCAGGAGGACTCCAAGCGGATTGGATGTTCTAACAATTCATCAAAATTAAGTAACTGCTTCCTATCTGACAAATTCCTAGAAGCGTCCCCACTCTGCATTATGAAGCACTTTATCGAATCCTTCTTAGAATCCCAAATCTGTGTGAATCCCATAATTCTACTTTATACCATTTTTGCTTTAATATCAACATTTTAAGAGAGGGACTTCGCTTGTGTGAGTCTTGAGTCATTGAACAAATATCCCTAAGATACCTTAAAAGAAACCCAGGCAGCGGTCACCCTGCCAGTTCGAGTGGGTGCTATTTAAATGTGAGCTCGCCAGAGGTGTCCGCAGCAGGCCAGCTCAGCCCGCCCGCCACAAGGGCTCCGCCAGGACCTCTGTCTCCTGGAGGTGGACTGGACGCACCCCCAGCGGCCCGGCCTGGGCACCCGGCACGGCTGGCCCTGCCTTCCTGAGCCCTGAAACAGTGACCACCCTCTCCCACCACCGCGACTCGCTCTGACCGCTCCCCTCGTGTCCCAGGCAGATCTGTGGACCCAGACTCCCCAGAGCTTCCGTCCCCCCCTTCGCTGCCTAGTCCTGCGACTTCTCGGACACGGCACCCCAGTCCCGCCGACGCGGAACGGTGTCACCGACCGCACCTCAAGCTCCCCGCTGAGCCCTCGGGCTGCCCGGGGCCGGAATGGCTGCCTGAACAAGGCTGGCACGCCGCGAGAAGCGGCAGAGGCCAGAAGTGGGGCCCGAGGCCAGCGCGCAGAGCCCCTGTCTGCACCTCGGGTGGCCGTGGTGGGCCGGGGGGCAGAGGGACAGCAGGCGGCGGGGCGGGGGTCAGGTACCTGCAGCCCGGGGCCTGGCGAGGTGGCGGCCCCGCTGCCCTTGGCCTTCCTGAAGAACAGGGGCTTCGGGGAGGAGGAGGCGTCAAACTTCACGAAGTCCCTCTGGGTCCTCAGCTGCTTCCTCAAAGGGCTGAGCGCCCCACCGCTCCCCTGTGTGCAGAGGGGCGAGACGGGGGTCACACCCCCCCCGTGAATGCAGGAAGCGAGCGGACACAAGGCGGGACCCACTTACCAGCTCACCCCAAGCCCCCCGTTTCCTGTTCCAGGTGTGCAAACACCTCGCTTCCTGAGCAGACGCCACACACACACGAATGCCCGCCTCCCCACGCTGGCACCATGCCGACGGCCAGAGGTCTACCTTCTCAGCCACGAGAACCCATTTTTACCCATCTTCAAACTTATGCCCATGTTCTGAAGATCTCTGCCTTTCAGAGACCATCTACGACACAGTAATTCACTCTCATTTCTGATCAGACATCACTGCCCACGGACAGTTTGGCACGGGAGGGAGAGTGTGAGGCTACCAGGTTCTGTGGGTCCGTGACAGGCAGAGGGAATGTCCCCTGGATGTTTCACACTGACAACCCCATGGCGGGCTCCGCTCTATTCCTGGGGTCCCAGGGGTCTGGGAAGCCCAAGGCAGCCCACTGGTGGTTTTGGCAAGTCCCTGGGGTTCCTGGTCCACGGTGTCGCACACATGGACAAGACACGCCACCCCTTGGGGAGGAAAACCTCCCCCGACCCTGTGACTCATTTAGCAGCCCCTCCAATCCTCTCTGAGGAGGGCTACCAGGGGCAGAGAAACGAGACCCAAAGAAGGAAATCCCTCTGATATTCTTAGTGAAGAAAGGGCATCAGTGATAGTGGGTGAAGGGCAGAGGCCGCAGAGCCCAGAGAAGGCGACACAGCTGACACGGCAGTCAGGGAAGGTCTGAGGTGAGAAGAGACTTCCTGAATCCCAGCTGCGCGCCCTGTTTCCCTGGCTCAGACTGGCTACGGACCCACTTAGGGATCCTGCACTGTGAGGCCCGGAAGCAGCGTGTAACCCAGTCCACACAAGCTCTGTAGACGAGGGCCTTGATGTCGTAACTGCTGCAAAGCAGGAGAAGCAGATACGCATGCTGGGCAGGGGTCAGCTAGCCTGTTCTGGAAAGGGCCAGGGAGTAAACGATTCCGGCTCTGCAGGCCGCGAGGTCTCCGTCGCACTCCTCAGCTGTGCTGCGAGAGGCAGAAGCAGCCAGGCCGGCGTGGGCGCCGCTGGCGGGCTGTGTGCTAGGGAGGCGACGCCTGCCGACCACTGGCACAGACGCACTGCACGTCCAGAGAGGAGGGTGTGAGACGCAGACCTAGAGCCCAGGTCCCCGTCTATAGGTGGCTCTAGAGATCCAAGTGGACAAAAAGTTTTTTCATTGAAAACATCAGTGAGGTAAGAGAATTTGGGGCTTCTGCCTTTGCCAGGACTGGCCACGAGTTGAAAAAGAAAAATGAGATCAGCGTGTGATGGAGATACACACCTGCCTGTTTATCTGCTGGGACTGGCCACGGGGACAGTTCCCCAGACTGAGGCTGGCCCTGCCCTGGCCTCTGCGGAGCCAGAGGGGTGGGGGCTGGGGGGGACGCAGAGGAAGCCACCGAGGGGGTCACTGCTTGCTCCTTGGTAGAGGTTGTCCAGAGCCATGACCGCTCCCTGGGCCCGGGGCTGGCTGTCCCCTGCCCTACCCATGCACGCAGCTGAGCAGATAGGACCCTGACACTCCTGCCCGGGAGCTACAGCCCCCTGCCCTGGGCCCGGCCGCCTTACCAGGGCCTGCACGAGCTTGACCCCTCTGTGCTCCGCCCACTTTGACATCTCTTTCACTTTCTTCCTCTTTTTCAAAACGGCAGCTTTCTGAGCAGACAGGTCGTGGAGGTCATGGCCGCCAGACTCCCTCCTCCTTTTCTTCAGCTTCCCGCCCTGGGGCAGGATGGCAGGGCAGTCCCCTCTGTCTGCTGGGCTCGCTGGAGGGGGCAGGGGCCAGGCCAGCGTGGGCGGGCCGCCGCCGTTGACCAGGAGGGCGCCGAGCTCGCGCGTCCTCTTCAGGACCGGGGCGCCGCCAGCCAGGGCCGCTGCCTCTGGGCTCTCCACCTGGACCCTCAGGCTTCTCTTCCTCAGTCGTCTCCTCCTGCTGTGCACGGAGGCGGGCTCCGAGCCGCTCTGCTCCCGGGGGCAGGACGTGGCCACCGTCCCCAGCTCAGCCGCACTCGCCTCCTGGGCTCTTCCGGGACCGGCCTCCGGCTGTCGGGTGCCATTCTGCTCCGGGCACGTGGCCTCACCACCCGGCCCCAAGTGTTCAGGCCGGAGGTGGTTCTTCTTCTTCTTTTTCCTTTTTCTCTTTGGAACACTGCCTGCGCTCTCCTCTTCCTCGGCAGGAGAGAACTTGGCTCCTAGAGACACAAACCGGTCAGAGAGCGCCCCGGTGCCCAGGCCACCTGGCCGGCCTCGTGGGGGAGCGCAGGGCACGTCCCCACGGTCTCCCAACAGGTCCTCCTCTGCGCCCTCGGGCCCCACGAGCTTCCTCACCCGGCCCCACCTCTTCCCTGCCCCGGCTGTGGCCGGAAACCTTCCTAAGCCCTGCTTTGATATAAATGCATCTGAAATAGTATTCCGATTTCTACTAATTTGCAGGCCCAGGCCCAGTAATAAGACAAATGCTCCGAAGGGCAGTGTCCACCCAGCATCCCCCTGTCCCCACCCACTTTCTCCACTAGGAGTCAGTAAATGCCTTTACTTTAGGGAGGCTGCAACGTGGTTCCACAGGAAACAGCAAAACACTCGGACAGACTTTCTGTCTCAGCCCCTCAGAATGACGGCTTCCGCTCTGTGATGACCCGTGTGGACGGCAAAGGCAGCCCCCGCGCCGCCCCCCTTTCACCCCCGCCCTCACAGACTGCGGTCTTTGCGGCTCACCTTTCCCTCTTTCCATGTCCGTTTTCTCCAGAAGTTTGTTCCCTTTCTTCTTATGCCTCCCTTGACTGAGGCTTTGGTCATCTTCGTCAGCAGAAGCGTCCTCAGCAAAACTGAGGTGAGAGATACTGCCTGCTGGACACCAAAGCCCCTTCTGGTCAGCTTTCTGAGACCGGCACCGCTCTGTCCCCAGGGCCTCCGAGCCATGCCCCTCCCCACGTCACGTGGGTAGAGTTTTAACACTGATTTCTGCCATAAGGCCCTCACTACTCCTCCGACCCCAACCCGAAAGCTGGGACACAGGAAGTACAGACTTAAAAACGCTTTGTGGGGTGTTCCCTGGTGGTGCAGTGGCTAAGAATTCGCCTGCCAAAGAAGGCGACACGGGTTCGAGCCCTGGTCCGGGAAGATCCCACATGCCGCGGAGCAACAAAGCCTGTGTGCCACAACTACTGAGCCTGCGCTCTGGAGCCCACGAGCCACAACTACTGAGCCTGCGAGCCACAACTACTGATCCCACGTGCCACAACTACTGAAGCCTGCGCTCTGCAACAGGAAGCCACCGCGATGAGAAGCCCACGCACCTCAACGAAGAGTAGCCCCCCGCTCGCCGCAACTAGAGAAAGCCCGCGCGCAGCAACGAAGACCCAACACAGCCAAAAATAAATAAATAAAAAAAAAAAAAAAAAAAAAAACATGCTTTGTGGATCTCTCAGCTGAGGCAAGGGACTGCAGACCTGGGGTGACACCCTCCACACCTCAGCCAGGTCTGCAAGGCCCTCCAATTCTAAGCTCCCTGTGTGCACGAGGGACGGGGCAGCAGACCATCCACTTGGCTCAGTGTAACCAAGCTCACAGGCGGCAGCTTCCCCTGGGGGACGACTGATCACACAGCAAATGAAAGGGACTCTGAGAGATCAGCTTGTCTTCTTCATGAAGAATCCACCCCGCCCCAGGGGCTCGCGCCCGCGTCTGGCTCCGCGCTGGTCTGGACGGGGGTGGGCGGCGGGCTGGAAAAGGCCCGACGCCGGGTTCCTGCGAGGGCCTCTGCTCAGCTGAGCAGGCTAATTTCTCATGCTTTCAATTCATGTCTCTCAGTCCTGTTTCTCAATATTTGGCACAACCGCCCTCTGTGGGGTCCACGCTTATTAAGAACATCACCAATTAAAATCTTCTCATTTTCCTCACCTTCAGAAAGATCCTGGAATCTGAAACAGAACACAAGAACGCTTCCTAGAGAAACCCTGTCTTTCTGTCTCCTGTAAACATATGCACTAACCTTTTAAAATGTAAGTGATACTTGTCTTTCCTTAAAATAAAATCTTTGTTGAGATATAATTCACATACTAAACAATCCACCCATTTAAAGTGTACAGCTGAATGTTTTATCATCAATATATTTTTATTGAAGTACAGTTGATTGACGTTACTAGTTTCTGCCGCACAGCAAAGTTATTCAATTATACACACATATGCATTCTTTTCTTACATTCTTTACCGCTATAGTTTATAACACGATGTTGAGTATAGCTCCCTGGGCTACACAGTAGGGCCCTGTTGTTTTCCATTTTACATACAGAAGCTTAAAGGGTAAAGCGATATTGGGGGTTTGTTAGCTCAGCTTCCTTCTTTCCTAGAAGGGGAGGTGGAAGAGGAAGGTGGTGTGAGGCAAGGGTGAGAAACAAAGGACAAAACCCCCTCAGGTGTCATCATATCATCAACGACACGAGGATCTAAAGACGTGTCTTGGCACATCCAAATGAAACGGAGAAATTAAAATCTTCTTCTTGTTTCTTAAGGCTGAAAAAGCTTACATCTCTACTTACATTGCATTCTCTGCTTTGTTACCAAGTGGAGACAGCCTAGCCGTGTTTTGCTCTACACGACTAATGTATTAGAACAAAAAGAAGTGTGAGCCCTGTGCCGTGAGGGCCATGTGCCGTGAGGGGGCATGTGCTGTGAGGGGCGTGTGCTGTGAGGGGGCGTGTGC